TTAAGGAGAGGTTTGTTGAGAGGGTGCGCGTTCTGGGGACCATGAAACGTTCTCTGGAACAGCGGTTGCGTCGGGTGGTAGACAATTCTGTCTTCCATTCTGATCCCAGTCGGTGGTTCGAGCCGCCTACGCCTGCGCCGGATAAGATGCCTTCAGTTGAGTGAGTTGAAGAGTTCTGGGAGATCTGTATGGTCAGGTCCCTAATCTCATGGTGGAGACTCCAGCCCTTCGGAAATTCCGCGTGTTTTGTCAGAAACATCGTCGGCAGCGCGTGGAATTTTCGCGAGTCACTCAGGACGAGGTTCGATCTGCTTTGCAAGGCATGAAGAACCACGCCGCTCCGGGACCTGACGGTATTAATGGCTTTTGGTGAAAGAGGTTTACCTCTGTGCATGTCTATCTGGCTCGGATATTCACGGCGTTCCTCGACGGCGGTGAGTCTGTTCCTGAGTGGTTGGTGGAGGGGAGGACTGTGCTGATCCCGAAAAAGGGAGACTTCACTGACCCGGCGAATTCTCGGCCGATCACTTGTCTGAATACACTATATAAGCTCTTCACCGGTATCTTGAATAAGCGTATCCTCCATAATATACAGCCAGTGTGGCAGCAGATTCACGAACAACGAGGAGCAAAGAGGGGACTGTCAGGTTGCAAGGAGGGTTTACTGCTCGATCGCTGCCTATTGCGCGATTCGTTGCAGTACCGTCGCAATCTGTCGGTGGCCTGGGTCGACTATCGCAAGGCATTTGATAGCACGAGCCATGAGCTCATTTTCATGCTTCTCGAATGCCTTGCGGTGGAAGACAACATAGTGAGATGCATTAAAGATCTTGCGCCTCTCTGGAGGACGCGCTTCACTATAACATCTGGTGAGGCTGACTTCAGGGTTGGTGCAATTCAGGAGAGGAGTTTTCTAGGGTGACACCCTGAGTCCTCTTGTGTTCTGCATATCACTGATGCCGCTCTCTGTTGCGCTGCTTTGTGTTGGGGGATATCAAACTGGAAGACCTGGCGATAGGAGGCACCGGCTAGCCATGTATTTTACATCGATGACCTGAAGTTATTCGCCTCAGGAGAACGACAGCTCAAGCTTCTGCTTGACGTTGTCGCAGTGTATTCACATGCGGTTGGCATGAGATTTGGGTTGGACAAGTGCGCCGTTTTCCATCTAAAGAGGGGCAAAGTCAGTGACGAGATGGGTGATCTTCAGCTTGTGGATGGAAGCGTCATACATCATCTTGGCGCCGAAGAGTCATATCGACATCTTAGCTTCAATCAGCGTTCCGTAGTGGATGTTGAGGCAGTCAAGGAGACTCTTTGCGGAGAGTACAGGTGGTGGCTGCGGAAAGTTTGGAAATCCGAACTTTCCGGGAAGAATAAAGTCGCCGCGTCGAACATGTTCGCTGTCCCGGTGCTTCTCTACTCCTTTGGAGTTCTCAAGTGGAGTAAGGGTGAACTGAAGCAGCTGGACAGAGATACCCGTAAGCTGATGAATATCCACAGAAGTCTTCATCCACGCTCTTCGAGTCCGCGGTTATATTTTCCGCGGGAGAGTGGGGGACGGGGACTTCTCAATTTGGAGGCTCTACATGATCGTCTAGTCCTCGGTTTTGCTTGTGACGTTATGAATGGTTTGGATCCGCACTTGGAGTTCGTGCATGATCATGAACTACTTGGGGTTCAAGCCTTCCTATATAAGGCAGCAGATACCGCAGCGGCGTCCCTCGGTTTGGAATTCTGTCGTGGCCGAGATGGTCAATTGGCTGGTGATTCATTAGCCTTCATGGCCAATTCTCGGCGTAGAGCGACCATCAAGGCGGCGGAACAGTCCAACTTGTTCCGCCAGCACGTTGATATGACCATGCATGGCGTGTTCTTCCGCCATGTGGAGGAGCAGGGTCTCTTCGTTCAGTTGACATTCTCTTTCTTAAAGTCAACTGGCTTGATGTCCGAAACTGAGGGTTTCATTTGCGCCTGCCAGGATGCTGTGGTAAACATCCTAGTCTATCGAAATCGTGTTATGGGGTTCCAAGTTCGATGACAGACAATGTTCCAGACATTCGATGTCGGGCTTGCAAGCGGTCCCCGGAAACTCTGATGCATCTTTTAACGGCTTGCCCGACATATGCCATCACGAGTTATATCCATCGACATAATGCGGCTTTGAGATTGCTGTATTTCCATCTGCGACACTCTTATGGGATAGACAGAACACCACTGCTGCCGTATGCTCCAGGAGATATTGAGTCCGTTGTCGTGAACGAGAGGTGTAAGATTTACTGGAACTTCTCGTTCGCGACTGTCAGGCCAGTCGTTGCGACGAAACCTGACATCGTCCTCTTCGATTTTGATGACAAAATCATCTATGTCATTGAGTTCTCAGCTCCGGCTGGGAGCAACATCACAGTTAAAGAAGAGGAGAAACGGCTCAAATACCAATCACTCCTGTTTGAGCTACGTCAAATAAACAGAGGATTTAAAGTTAAGTTGGTTGTCCTTATCATTGGCTCTCTTGGAGGAATGAAGGAGTCATTCATATGTGCGCTCAAAACCATCCCGGCCTGTAGGCGTCAAGCCTTCAATTTGGCTGGCCAGATGCAGAAGGCAGTCATCCTCGGATCCCTTCGTCTACTTAGGCAGCATGATTCTGGATTGCAATAGAGCTCACCCTCTGGTTAGAGGGAGCACTATTGCAGAGCGGTCAGGAAGTGTTTGCATCGCTTAGCTTGCTGGACGATCTTCGAGGTGAAGTCGGATCCCTCGAGGATCGTTCATCGATCTCATTTAAAAAATTTTATAATTATATAAAATCATAATAATANACCATGCATGGCGTGTTCTTCCGCCATGTGGAGGAGCAGGGTCTCTTCGTTCAGTTGACATTCTCTTTCTTAAAGTCAACTGGCTTGATGTCCGAAACTGAGGGTTTCATTTGCGCCTGCCAGGATGCTGTGGTAAACATCCTAGTCTATCGAAATCGTGTTATGGGGTTCCAAGTTCGATGACAGACAATGTTCCAGACATTCGATGTCGGGCTTGCAAGCGGTCCCCGGAAACTCTGATGCATCTTTTAACGGCTTGCCCGACATATGCCATCACGAGTTATATCCATCGACATAATGCGGCTTTGAGATTGCTGTATTTCCATCTGCGACACTCTTATGGGATAGACAGAACACCACTGCTGCCGTATGCTCCAGGAGATATTGAGTCCGTTGTCGTGAACGAGAGGTGTAAGATTTACTGGAACTTCTCGTTCGCGACTGTCAGGCCAGTCGTTGCGACGAAACCTGACATCGTCCTCTTCGATTTTGATGACAAAATCATCTATGTCATTGAGTTCTCAGCTCCGGCTGGGAGCAACATCACAGTTAAAGAAGAGGAGAAACGGCTCAAATACCAATCACTCCTGTTTGAGCTACGTCAAATAAACAGAGGATTTAAAGTTAAGTTGGTTGTCCTTATCATTGGCTCTCTTGGAGGAATGAAGGAGTCATTCATATGTGCGCTCAAAACCATCCCGGCCTGTAGGCGTCAAGCCTTCAATTTGGCTGGCCAGATGCAGAAGGCAGTCATCCTCGGATCCCTTCGTCTACTTAGGCAGCATGATTCTGGATTGCAATAGAGCTCACCCTCTGGTTAGAGGGAGCACTATTGCAGAGCGGTCAGGAAGTGTTTGCATCGCTTAGCTTGCTGGACGATCTTCGAGGTGAAGTCGGATCCCTCGAGGATCGTTCATCGATCTCATTTAAAAAATTTTATAATTATATAAAATCATAATAATAATCATCATCATCCTTTACAATTAAGAAAATTATATATCCTAGACAATAAGAATAATTTCTGAATAAATAATTTATGTAATCTGTTCGGTTTTCCACCGAATTGTTTTTCGCACACGCACACTCACGCACACTCGCTCCTCTCGCATGCTTACATCGCTTCTCAGGACTGACCTGCGCAACCGACTGATCTGACCAGTGGCCTCTCACCTCTGACACCTGAGGCGCCACTTGATGGACAGGTGTCCAGCGAACGCCCTCATTTAAATTGGGGCACGTTTGGACCCACGATTATCGACACCTGCCACCTTGCGGTCTTTCAATCGGCCTCATTTGCATATCGGCCATCGTACTGTGTACATTTCGTTCTGCGAATTATTCTATTGTTGCGCGAATTAGTTGCTCTGCGCCATTTAGTTCTTTGAACTGTGTTAATCATTTTGTGACCCGCGCTAATATTCTTGACCTTCTCAATTAATTAAATCTAACAAGTGTAAATATTTGACTTCGATAATTAAATTGACTTTTGTGACCAACGCCACGTGTAGTGATTTCTGGACCTTCTCACGCTCCCGGAAAATCCGTTTTTATCTCGCCCATCGCTTCCTAATTCCACTTAAACCAGATTCGGCATCGAACATTTTGGTCCTTCGAGCCGGATCCGTGGAATAGTTTTCAGTTTAGTGGTGTTTTTCGGGTTTGATGAACATTTTTCCCGCGAGTGAACACGTGCTCAGTGGATAGACAGTGGTGCTCATCCTGCGGATCCCTAGACTCGTCGCATCGGACAACTCAAAAGGTGCTCAACCTGTTCTCAACGCATCGCTTCAGGAAACTGCCTTATCGACACGCGGGAAAATTCAAACGGAGCTTCTCGTCTAAAAGGGAAGTCAAATTAATTACAATTTTTGCGCTTCTCTGGGGTTTTGCTGATTTTTCCTCAAGTTCGGCTGCATGTGATTTATTCTTTTTTTTTCGATTTATTTACGCTTATTATTAACGCTTTTTGGATCTGCGCTGGAGTTCTGGGCTACGCTTTGTTTTCCGCATATTGCTTTTTCTTGCTTTTTGACCTGAATCCTTGGCTCTTTGTTTATTTTTGAGCATCTCTCCTGGCACGTTCGCTTATTGTTTCTTTTTTAGTTTTTCGCAGCAGTTGATCGAGGTTGTGGTTTTTCTTGTTGGTTTTCTTTCTTTTTTTGTTGACAATTCCACAAGATGGCAACTCTCGAAGCGCTGATCTCGCTGCAGATGACACGTGCATCCTTCATCGAAGGCATTTACACGGAGTCACAGGAGGAGAGCATCCAGCAGTTCGGCGTGACGGCTCTGGATTCCAAGCTCATCATGCTGGAAACGTATTGGGCGAAGCTGGAAGCGTCCCATGAGAAACTCGTCGGCCAGAAGATCGAGAATTTGACCTCTCTCGATTATTTTAAGAATCAGGTCTTCGATGTCGCGCTTAAGCATTACGCTTCAGGTAGAGTAGCGCTGCTGCAGCTGTTGGAGAAGAAGGGGGCTCCTAACCTCAACCAATCGGTTCGAGTTCCTGGCGACGCGCAACTACAGAGTTCAACGCGCAGAGCTCTTCCGGAGATTGAGTTGCCGAAGTTCTCTGGAGTGTATAAGGAGTGGAGGCCATGGAGAGACCTTTTCCATTCGCTGGTCGGGAATAATCTGGAGATTCCTGGAGTCGAGCGAATGCACTACCTCCGTCTCTGTCTCTCCAATGAACCGTTGAAGCTCATCTCTAATTTGCCCGTCTCTGAAGATTCCTTCGGCATCGCATGGAGAATCTTGGTCGATCGATACGAGAACAAGCGCTTATTGATTACAGCTCACCTTGACCAGCTTCTCAATCCTGCTCCAATGAAGACGCACGGTGCCTCAGACCTTAATTTATTGACGAGCTCCGTTTCTGAGGCACTCAGCGCGCTCAAAGCACTGGATCAGCCAACAGATCATTGGGGTCCAATCGTCGTTCACGTGCTCACTCGTCGCTTGTCCAACAAGCTTCGTGAGGCATGGGAAAATAAAATTGGAGCCTCGACTGAGTATCCGACGCTTGAACATCTCCTCGATTTCCTACAAGGTCGTTCACGAGCCATGGAGACCTTGGAGGTTGGGTCTTCGGTGCACACATCGAACGACGCTTCTCGTCCTTCGCAGCCCAGCGTCCAGACTCGTTCGATGACCAAGAGTAGTGCCAAGGTCAATCAAGCCTCGGTGGCTTCGCATGCGCAGCAGTCAGCCCAGAAATCTTCCAGTCCAGCGCAAATACAGTCCACAAAGTCGACGTCCTGGGCCGACGCGGGCTATCCTTGTTCCTACTGCAAGATGGATCACTACATCGCTTCTTGCAGCGGATTCAAGTCGCTCACACCTACAGCAAGGAAGGAGGTTGTCGAACGACTCTATCTGTGCTACAACTGTCTGGGGAAGCACAGTATCAGAGTCTGCCAGACCACTCGAACGTGCAGGACATGCCAGGAAAGGCACCATTCCCTGCTGCATTTTGATCGCGCACGTCGTCCAGCTCAACGTGGTCCAGCAGCTCAAGTCCCTCGCAACGATGCAGGAGCTCAGCGCCCGAGTGCTTCTGCTCCATCGACCAACGTTCCTGTCGTGACGTACACTCACACCGGTGATGCTGCTCAGGCTGCTTCTTCAGCCCATTCTCAGGCCTGAAGCGGACCGTCCCAAGCGTCGATTCCTTGTTCGGCCCATAGTTGTTCTGCGCAAACCTCTCGGCCTGGAGTCCTTCTCGCAACTTGTTTAGCTCTCTTAGTGAGCGAGTATTGCCCTCCGCATCAAGTTCGACTCTTGTTGGATTCAGGCTCCGAACTCTCGCTCATCTCAGATCAACTAGTTCGGAAGGTGAAATTAAAGAAAACTCGTAGTTCTGTCCACATAACAGGAGTGGGAGGATCATCGTTTGGGACAACGTCCGGCGAAGTACACCTCACGCTGCAATCGATCCACTCAGAAGAACGCGTTGAAGTTACAGCTCACTCCCTTGAACGTCTCACCTCAACGCTGCCGTCCTTCTCAGCAGAGGGCCTCAAGTGGGATCATATCGAGGGTTTAGAGCTTGCTGATCCTCATTTTCGAGTCTCTGCACCAATTGACCTTCTCGTCGGTGCTGATGTTTTTGGTCAGGTCATCAAGCCCAACGTGATCAGAGGAGGGGTTCAGGCTCCAGTCGCTCAACTCACCAGCTTTGGCTGGATTGTTTATGGGCCAGCGGGACCTGATCAACCAACATCTTGCTCTTCTCATCACCTGAGCGTATCGAACGACGAGCTCAACGACCTTCTCACGAAGTTTTGGGTTCAGGAGGAAGTTCCTGGGCGCACTGACGCGAATCTCTCAACGGAAGAATTAGAATGTGAACGCCACTTCCGTCAGACTCACTCAAGAGATAGCTCAGGTCGATATGTCGTTCGTTTGCCCTTCTCAGCTCCAGTTTCGTCATTAGGGAATTCCTATCGTCCAGCGCTAGCTTGTCTTCATCGTATGCTCGCGAGAATCTCAAAAGATGAGCGCTTTCTCCAGCTTTACTCTGGCTTTCTCAAGGAGTATGAGGATCTCGACCATATGAGATTAGTAACTCGCTCGACTCATCGCTCTTCGTCTTCGGTTCAGGCGGATTCCGCTTGTCGTTCTGACGAGACGACCTTAGCACATGAAGCGCAAGCTTCAGGAGGGTTGAGGGTCTCTGAAGGGCTTCAGGTAGGGCCGTCTGGCGCTCAAAGGAGTTACTATTTACCTCATCATGGTGTAGTCAGAGAGAGCAGTGAAACGACGAAACTGAGAGTAGTGTTCAACGGATCAGCGAAGACCAGTTCAGGGAACTCACTCAATGACATTCTCCACATAGGAGCCAAGTTGCAGAGGGATATCTCGGACGTGCTGCTCTGGTCAAGACAGCACAAAGTCATCTTCATGACGGACATCACCAAGATGTTCCGCCAGATTAGAGTTCACAAGGATGACTGGGCCCTGCAGCAGATTCTATGGACCGACTCACGTGGAGAACTAGTCACGTATCAACTGACAACAGTCACATACGGCACGAGATCAGCTCCGTTTCTCGCAAACCGTGTTCTTCTTCAGCTGGCTGAGGATGAAGGACATCGGTTCCCTTTGGCCGTCTCGCCTATCGTAAAAGGAAGATACGTTGACGACATCTGTGGAGGTGCGGATACGCATGACCAACTCGTTAGGACTGCGCAAGAAGTTCGTGATCTTTGCGCTGCTGGAGGAATGCCTCTGGCAAAATGGCATAGTAATAGTCCAGCGCTACTCCAGTGGCTCGCTCCTGATAGTGCCTCCAATGACCAGCGAGTTTATGAGGATTCGGAGACCCGGATTCTTGGCTTGTCGTGGCAGCCCAGCTCGGATAACTTCGTCTTCTCAAGTCGGACCAGCGATGAATCGAAGGTTTCTAAGAGGAATATCCTCTCAGAGATCGCTCAGATCTATGACCCACTCGGATTTCTATCTCCTGTCGTGATCAGAGGGAAACTGCTCATGCAGGAGACCTGGATTGGAAAGCTCGGTTGGGATGAGGAAGTCCCAGAACAAGTTGCCCAGCGTTGGAAAAGTTTTCGAAATGATCTCACTCTGCTCTCGAAGTTATCTGTTCCAAGATGGTTAGGCCTTCTCCAGAACTCGTCGATTGAAATACATGGATTCTCAGATGCTTCTGTTCTCGCGATGTCAGCCGTAGTCTATCTCAGAATCGTTAATGGAGATAATGAGCCTCGGATTTCTTTGGTCTGCGCTAAAACGAAAGTAGCTCCTCTCAAACGGCTGACAATCCCAAGGCTAGAGCTCACAGCTGCGGTTATGCTTGCCAAACTCGTAAAGTACGTGAAAGGAGAGCTCGATCTCTCGAACACGCCGACGTTTTTATGGACCGACTCCTCAGTTGCGCTTACGTGGATCAACTCGCATCCATCCAGATGGAAAGAGTTCGTGAGAAATCGTGTCCAACTCATACAAGAGACCTCACGAGCTCAATGGAAACTCGTTCCTGGCAAGGAAAACCCAGCTGACTGCGCATCTCGTGGACTAACGACAGCGCAGCTCTCTGCGCATGAACTCTGGTGGCGCGGACCACCGTGGCTCATGAAAAGCTCATCGTCGTGGCCATCTCTAGAGCTTGCTTCAGTGACATCAGCAGATCTTGAGGAGAAACCTGGTGTCGTTCTGAACGTGAAGGTCCAGCGCATAGAGATTTGGGATTTAGTTCATCGCTATTCTTCACTCAACAGATTGCTTCGAATTACGGCCATTTGCCAACGCGTCATTGCTCGTCTCAGAAGAATTACTGGATCATCGTTAGCAACAGCTCTGAACCCTGGTGACATCGAGCAGGCCCGACTGCTTTGGGTCAAGCTCACTCAGTCTGCGCATTTTTCAGCTGAGGTTACGACCTTGTCCAGAGGGCACCGTCTTAGTTCGTCTCACTCGCTCACTCGATTGACGGCGTTCCTGGACCACCAGGGAGTTCTACGCGTTGGAGGGCGCCTGAAATTTGCTCAGCTTGACTGCGAAAATAAGCATCAGATCATCGTACCTCGGGATTCGCAGTTCGCTCAGCTCATCATTCGGGATGCCCATCTCAGGACTCTGCATGGAGGAACGCAGCTGACTCTCGGTCAACTCAGAAGGTCTTACTGGATCCTCGGAGGAAGAGCCCCGGTAAGATCATTCATCCTGAGGTGCGTTCCATGCGCCAGACAGCGAGGGATCAGAGCTCAACAGCTCATGGGCCAGCTCCCAGTTGCTCGTCTCACACCTGGCCGAGCGTTCCTCAACACTGGAGTTGACTACGCCGGACCAGTGTCTCTCCGCTCGTGGAAGGGGCGTGGTCATAAGTCGTACAAGGGATGGCTCGCGATCTTCGTCTGCATGACCACGTCCGCAGTCCATATTGAGGTTGTCTCAGATTACGCAGCCGATGGATTCATCGCTGCGTATCGTCGCTTTGTTGCCCGGCGTGGACACTGCAAGAACTTGTTCTCAGACTGCGGAACGAACTTCTTGGGAGCCGACAAGGAACTGAAGAAGCTCTTCTCAATGGCGTCTAAGGAATCGAACAAACTAGCCCAACTCTTGCTCAGCGATGGAACCAGATGGTCTTTTAACCCTCCAGGTGCACCGCACTTTGGAGGCAAATGGGAAGCCGCGGTAAAGTCGGTGAAGTTCCATCTCAAACGAACGATCGGCGATGCTCTATTGACCTACGAGGAACTCACTACTTTACTCGCGCAGATCGAAGCCGTGCTCAACTCGCGACCACTGGAACCGCTATCAGAGGATCCTGATGACGTCAGCGCGCTCACTCCAGGTCATTTCCTGATTGGCCAGGCCTTGACCTCCGTTCCTGACCCTTCGCTGGAGCATTTGAACGTCGATCGCCTATCTCGTTGGCAGCTTATTCAGCAGAAGGTTCAGTACTTCTGGAAGCAGTGGTCCACTGGCTACCTTCAACATCTACAGTCCATCTCGAAGTGGCACCACCCATCTCACAACATTAGGATTGGTTCCATAGTCCTTCTCACCGACGAGAGGTTTCCACCAACGAAATGGCCTCTCGCTCGAGTCATCGCTCTCCACCCTGGTAGAGATGGACTCGCCAGGGTGGTCACCATTAAGACGTCCAGTTCTACTCTGCAACGGCCCATCTCGAAGCTCGCTCTACTGCCAGTCTCGACCAGCGACACTTAAGATCATCTCGACCAGCGATACCTAGGATCATCTCACGTGATGACAGCTCTGCATCATCGGGTTCATCATAGTCCATGTTCGGATTGGGTCATGGTGAGGATTTACGACCCTCTCTGTGGCAACTGGTCCGGAGTGGACGTGAGTCTGCCGGGGTCTGCCGGAATTTACGCCTCCTACGTCCTCGGCTGTACTCACACCTGACCGTCACTGGTGAACTACGATGGTGATATTGATCTTCGAGAAATCTTGTCCTGAGCTCGATTAATCGCTTTTTGTTTCAGACCAACTCAGTCACGTCAGCAGCTGCTGACGGCGGGGGAGAATGTTCGGTTTTCCACCGAATTGTTTTTCGCACACGCACACTCACGCACACTCGCTCCTCTCGCATGCTTACATCGCTTCTCAGGACTGACCTGCGCAACCGACTGATCTGACCAGTGGCCTCTCACCTCTGACACCTGAGGCGCCACTTGATGGACAGGTGTCCAGCGAACGCCCTCATTTAAATTGGGGCACGTTTGGACCCACGATTATCGACACCTGCCACCTTGCGGTCTTTCAATCGGCCTCATTTGCATATCGGCCATCGTACTGTGTACATTTCGTTCTGCGAATTATTCTATTGTTGCGCGAATTAGTTGCTCTGCGCCATTTAGTTCTTTGAACTGTGTTAATCATTTTGTGACCCGCGCTAATATTCTTGACCTTCTCAATTAATTAAATCTAACAAGTGTAAATATTTGACTTCGATAATTAAATTGACTTTTGTGACCAACGCCACGTGTAGTGATTTCTGGACCTTCTCACGCTCCTGGAAAATCCGTTTTTATCTCGCCCATCGCTTCCTAATTCCACTTAAACCAGATTCGGCATCGAACATAATCCTATAAATTGGGCGTTATGTAGTTATTTCCTATTACCACCACCCACTTTCCACCCGACAACCATTTCCACTCACCACCCACTTCCTGTGACCCTTGGGCATCAGACCCTGCACCCCAGGAAGCCCCCCAGCGCGCCGACGTTCTCTTCAAAGGGATGCCGCCGAGGGGGGAAGGGGGACGTGCACGTTCACTTCCTGGAAAAACGGGGGGAGGGGGGGGGGAATTCCTGGAAAACAATTCGCCAATCTCGGTCACTTACTACTCCTATCGTTGAGTTACCGACCGTGGAATTACCGACTGCCGCGCAGTGTTTCGCCGTTACGTTGCAGCTGTTGTATATGTTGAGTGAACGAGTGGGGAAGAGGCGCAGCGTTCACGCTACGGCTGCGGATGGATGGAGAAGGAGTACTTCGCGGATTGCCGAAGTGTTACAGCGAGTGGAGAGGTGTTGACCGTTGAGTCTCCGGGATGACATCACGACGTTCCTCGTGTTGAGTGGCCTCTGTGACCGATGTAATCAAAGGCAATAAACTAAATTTCCTTTGTGCCTCGTTGAGTACCCGACCTCGGATGATTCCCCTGAAGTAGTTTTGTGAACCCCGAAAAGCCACGCAGCTCACGGCGTCGGTTTTCACGGACGTTGATTTCCACTAAATGTTTTCCGTGTTGACGAATTTTCACTGCACTTTTACTCCGGTATCCAGCTTGAAGGACCAGTGTTAAAAATCTTGCGGATTTTAATGATAGGGTGGCCGGGAGGGAAAGTGATGCGGGATGAGATGCCGGATAATAAATCACATAACTATCGTCGATTGTCAATATATTTAAAAACTGGGTGCACTGAAAATTACACTCGATTAGGTAAATAATAAATAGTTGAACTGCCGGAGTGGACTGTAAAAAACACGCCAAATATAGAAGATTGTCCCGATAATTAACGATAATGTTCGATACTTTGTCCAATGAGATTCCCGATAATGGCGCTGATGTGCGCCCGGATGGTTTTCTACGAGCCGTTCCTGATAAGATTCAATGGTGTACTGACCATCACGGCACGCACAAAACCTTGGTGCGTACTCGTCAATGGCCGAGGATTAACTAGAGTGTCAGGGGGGTAATCTAACCCAAAATTAGGCCAGATTTCAAACAGATGCCGTAATACCCCTCCCCACTCTCCACTCTTCAAAAAAAGTGGAGAGTAGAGAGTTGGCCCCGAGACAGGTCCGCTCCGAACTCTCTCCTACCTCTCTAGTTTCTCACTACTGCTGGAACAAATAGACTCTTACTGTACTTTCCCACAATTCTCCCGTGAGTCCGTCAGGGGATCTTCATAGATTTCCAAAAACAATATCGGAAAACATAAGAAATGAACCATTTTGAGGTCATTGATTCGAAACAAATTGCCATGAAAGACAACATATTGGTTTCAAGATGATCCTATATTATAACATTTATGATACGCAGATTTTGAGTAGAGTCCATACACAGATCAGCGTCGTTATTAATCATTTTGTGCTATCGTTTTTGTTTCAACTTTTTTCGATCTTGTTTTCATTCTTTCCAGATAACTGGAGAAATTTTAAAGGAGAGGATGACCATTTGAATTGATCACAGCCACGAATTTTATTACATTCAGTTGAGTGCGATGAGCGTACATTCGGTAAGTAAATGAAAAGTTTGCTTTGGCTATCATAATTTCAAGCTCCAAACTGAAATTAAATCGATAGAACTTGAAATAATAGTTGACGAGTGTTTGACGTAATGTTTTTGTTTTTTTTCTATCTCTATTCTTTACTGGTTCACACGTGACATAATGATAATGATCTATGTCAATTATCAATACACAAAGAAAAACATGAAGGTGTTATGCATAACGGGGGTATTTTACCACTTTTTCGGGGGTATTGTGCCTTTTTTTGCCGAGTGTCAAAATAGTCCCTAAGAAGCGGTAAAATACCCCTAAAATCAGGAGACACAGTTTACTATACATGAGTATACAACAGACCAATTGTAGGGATAACCAAGCATAGACTAAGGGTCAAATAAATTCGATTGTATTTCTACACTGATAGAACGGTTTAGTCGCACCAAACGAGGCTTCTTGACTTTTACCACGATTCGTCAACTATTAACGAATCATGGTTATAGTTAAGAAGCCTCGTTTGGTGCAACTAAATCGTTCTTTCTTTTCTATCAGTGTAGTGGAGAAAAGTCAATTTTTTGATGAACCATTTTTTCCCAATAATTCTTTTCGTTTGATCTCGACTGATCAGAATGCAGTATTCAGTCGCGTGACACTTTCACGTCAGCTTCTTTTTGATAAATCTCCCGCAGTTTGTTTGTCAGTCCAATTGTGGCTTGTCAATTGTGTTTCTCAATTTTGATAGGCATTTAGCAACAAAACTTTTGTGATAGGTTTTAAAACACGTGTGATGTCACATGACTCCAAACACTGCATCTCTATTAAGCACTATTTGATGTAAATAGTATATTTCGATACAAGTGCGACGGGGTGGTAACGAGTGTGAAGTTGGCGGCCCGAGGCGAAGCCGAGGACTGCCAATTACACGAGTTGAAACACCCCGTCGCACGTGTATCCGAACTATATTTTTTGTTAGTGATGTTACGTTCAGCGTGTGCCAAACTGTGCCATTTTTCGTTTACTAGTAAACGAAAAGTCTTTTCGTTTAGAAGTTTCAACTTTTCGTTTACTAGTAAACGAAAAGGCATTTTTCGACACGGGCTGAACGTAGCAGCAGTGACAAAAAAGTAATTTTCCTAATGCCCTATCATCTTAAAAATTACACAATATTTCACTCAAGCTAGTTTCCCTGGGTAGCAACGGAGATATTGCGAAAGATTTGATCATTTTTTCGGTCTATCACAACTCGTGAATAACCACTGATTTACTACTTATTGGCCCTTTATCTGACAGTCAAACCGTTAAAACCGACAAAAAATGAACGATTGAAAAATTTTAGTTTAAAATTAAAATCTATTTTTTTTTTAGAACAACCACTGATTCTTCATTCATCAACCCCCCAGATGGCGATCCACAGATGAAAACGTTCAACAGAAAAACCTATCGAATTCGTTAGACAATTCTAGTGGATTTCTATTGAAATTTCCATTCGTTTTTGGCCGATTCTGTCCAAATGTTCACTAGACAATATTCTACAGAAAAAGTCAAAAGAATTTGATTTCTCTGTAGAACTTATTATCTTGAGATATTTTTGATAGAATTTCCTCGGCTCAAATTTCCTACGTTTTTTTGTTTGATTTTCTTGATGTGAAGAAAAGAAAAATGGAATGAAAAAAACTTGTAAAATTTGAGCCGAGAAAATTTTATAGAAAATATCTGAAAAGAATAAGTAATAAAGAAAAATCTAATTCCATTCACTTTTCCTATTGAATATTTTCTATTAAACATTTTATTAGAAATGGCCAAAAATTAAAAGAAAGTTCACCAGAAATCGAATAGAATTTTTTAATGAATTCGCTATAGTTTTCTATTCTTTTTTTATTGTGCGTGTCAAACCATCCAAACTGATAAAAACTTTATTTTTTGAAATTTTCAAATTTTGTTTAAGCCAATGCACAGATGTAGGATTTCCAGGGAAGAAGGATCGATTTTTTGGAAAATCGATTTTTTTATCGGAACAGTATTGATTTTTCGCTAATCCTTACTGTTGAACTGATAGGATTTTCACTTCCGACGGCTCGTTGAGGCTTGTATGAGGCTAGCTATTATTATTAACAAACAATCGCTTTTCAGATTGGAGTTAATTATGATATCAAACCTGGTTCAGACTTATCCCATTCTACCTGACATTCATATCTTGTCTCTCCTTAATACGCATAAGAAGACCCGCATTATCTTCTCCGCGTCTAGTGCTTTTAAAGAACTGATTCAATGCTCATTTTGTGCCAAATGAAAAAACAACCAGAATAGAACTCCTATTCAGCAGAAGCATATCACTGTGACTTCATGTGTTATTAGTATTTTATTTTATTTTTCTCTCAATTCCATTAGTAATAAGCTTCCTAATGCATCCGTAGTGATTCCCCTATCAACGATCATTGGAAGGTTTGACTTCAAGTCTGGTGGTGACTAAATTAACGAAGGAAAACCACGTGATGGTCTACACAAAACCATAAAATGAATTGTAACGAAAATAACACGTTACACTTTATATGGACGTGCATTCATTATTTGATTGATTTCGATAAGTGGCAGCAAGATGAGTATTTTGAAAAAAAACATTGGTATCGGATTAGTATTTTAGGAGATATTGAGCAAAACAGTTTTTCACAAAGAGTTGAATATCTACTAAACTATATGTTCGATTTCGCCCACTCACGAACTCGTCCGGTAATATAAGATCTACAATCTCAACAAATTCCAATATCCTATGTCAATTTTTTCGGGAGTTATCGTGTATATATCAATTTTATCATAAAAAAGAAAAATGCCAATTAGCATCAAACTGACCAAAGTTTCG